GGTCTTACAGATGCCAAACAACTTGCAGCATTCTTGGAACATAGCTGATTCGAAGTTACGGCCTTAATCTAAATGCATTTCATATGGCATATCAAATCTGAAGAAGAAATCACTAATAGCCGAAGCTACAGTCGATGCTTCCTGATTTGGTATTGCATATGCCTCAGGCCACTTGGTGAAATAATCCATCATCACACAAATGTACCTGTGTCCATTACGAGTTTGGGGCAAAGGACCAGCAATGTCAACAGTTACTCTTTCCATTGGTGTGCCAACTTGATATAACTTCATTGGAACACGTTCCTTATGCTTGGGTCCCCTTTTAGGACAACATGTGCTGCATGTTCTGCACCATTCTTCCACATCTTGCCTCATACCTATCCAGTAAAATCTTTTTCGTAGGTGAGTCAATGTCTTCTTAACTCCGTGATGTCCTCCTGTTAAAGTATCATGGGATTCACGCATTTTACAACTGTTTACCTCACGACATAAAGTAAAAGTAGGAATGTCTTTATTTAAAGTTGGTTTTACTTCTTTAGAGGGAAATGAAGAGAAAGGAGTAGAGAAAAAGACATCAAAAGGAAGAAATGAAACCAAATTACGAAAAGAATGATCAATCCTAAGTGGAAGAATTAATTTTAAATGGGTATGGTACAACGAGAATGATGATCTGATGTATTGTGTTCCATGTAGAAAGAGAGTGGATTTGAGACGGGAATGAATAATTGTAATATTAATTCTTTAAAACAACATGATGCCAGGACATTACATATATCAGCACAAAGAAGGCACGACTTGGAATGCATGAAAAAAGAAATCAAGCACAGTGTTTAGTTCATATATTGGAGAATTGGAGGCAGGAAGGAGTGTAGATGCATGTGCTAGTATCAGGGAACCAGCTTTCCAAATAGCAGTAGTTGGACCTCTGTATGTTGCTATCAGAAGGCTAAATGAAGATCAGAAAGCACAACTGCTTATTTGTTTTAACACTGCTTACTTTATTGCTAAGAATGAACTGGCCTTTATTTTGTACCCAAGCCTTCTTGATTTACAAGCTAATAATGATGTTGAGCTGCCAAATAGCTATAAACTGATCAGGCTTGTAGAAGATTTATGTAGTTCATACATGAGGATATCCAACAATAAATAGTTTACTGAAGAATACACAGGTGTTATCTATAATATTTGATGGTGCAACAGGCGTGTCTATGAGATTGTGTATGCTTAGGTTGTGGTTGAAGGTGTGCCAAAAATGTCTTTGTAAAGATAAAGAACGTGGAACATACTCCTGCTGAAGATGTTTTGGCAGCTCTAGAGTCTGCAATGGACAGTGCAGGTTGGAACTGGAAGAAAAACCTAATTGCCACTGGTTCAGGTGGAGCAAATGTGAACTTGGAGACAAAGAACAGTGTGGTAAAACTCTTAAAAATGAAGTGCCTCATCTTACTGCCATGCATTGTTTAAGTAACAGATTGGAACTTGATACATTAGATGCAAAGATCTTTGGTGATCTTAAAACTGTTTTTCTTTTTAATTTGCAGAAACAGTATCATTTCAGTGCAAAAGCATTGACAGAGCTTCAAATGTTAGCTAAAGCTATGGATGAGAAGATGATAAAGCTAGTAACTTTGCCACAAACAAACCCAACAATAGAACATTACACTACAGTTCACCTTTTGTCCCTGAAACCAGCTCAAGAATAATCCACACTTGGACAAAACTAGTCATTAAACACAAAATTCTTGTCAATGTCCAATTCTCTCAAAAACCTGGCCCTAAATTAAAATTGTTACTAAACAAAAATTATTTAGAATCACACAATACCAACATCATTTACAAAATAACATGCAATAACTGCCCAGAATTCTACATCAGAGAAACAGGAAGAAAACTGGAAACCAGATTCACGGAACACAATTAAAAACCGTTCTGTGTTTTCCACCACTGCAACTCAAAATACCATAGTATATCTACTAAAAACACAGTCATTTTAAACAAAGAGCCAAACATAAACTAAAAATCAAAGAATCCATCTTAATTGAACAAAACAACCCTACGCTAAACCAACACCCTTGGGTGCCAAGATATCTCTTCTAAGTCATGCAACAATATCCAGTCATGTGACCTCTTTGTTCCATACTCTCTCTCTCTCTATATATATATATATATCTGTGTCAGTGTAAACTACTTGTACCTAATGATGAAAAACCTTGTACATTTGCTTTTATGTTAAACTTGTATTAAAGTTTTCTTCATTACCCATTCAAGCTGTCTCCAAGCATTATTAGTCTCAAAATGAGTTCCTCATCATCAAATCTGAGTCAGTCTTCATGTCCTCTTATGGCAGTATTTGGTGTTTATTGCTCACTTTGAGAACAGTGTAGAGGGTACAAGTAGGACAGTGGATGTTCAAAGCAGAGCCTAGCTGATTCTTAAACATCTGAAAGACTATAATTTTATCTATTTCATTCACTTTCTAAAGGATCTATTAACTATCTTGAGCAAAGTTTCATTAGTTTCAAAAGGACAGCTGTGTTTTACCTGGTGCTGTGGAAGCCCTTGAAACATCTTGCCTGCAGCAAACACCAGGAAAGAACCTGTAGATGTTCCTAGACAGTGTAAAGGCAGATAATGCATTCCAAGGTGTAAACCTTCATGCTCCCACTGTTAACAGAGACACAGGTCAAGAAAAAAGAAAATTCCTTCATTCAGTTGGTTATCAAACATGTGACCATTTAATGAAGGACATGCAAATATTCTCTCCAGTCAATCTTCCAGAAACTGATACAGATATTGCAGTATATGGAGAAAATGAAGTAAATAACTTGTGTGAATACTACTACAGTTTTAAACAGGATGGGATGTGACATTAAACATCTGAAACATGCAGAATGTCCAGTTCTGAAAGTTCATATGAAGAGGCAGCCAAGATGCATTGATGTTCAAGAATTCTATTACAGGCTTTTCTTGAACCCCAACTTGAAAGACTTTTAAGAATATAATCATACTAGTTGAGATCATTTTGTGTATACCAGTTTCAAGTGCAATCTGTGAGAGGCTACGATCAATTCTGATTATAGAACTTGGTTAAATGCAGACATGTTGAACTACCTCATGAAAGTTTCCATTACAAGGCTAGGTTCTATGAATTATAATTCAGAACAAGTTGTGGCATTATGGTTGCATGGTGGGCAACGTGCAAGGTGACCTACCTTTGTTCATCCAGATGAGATAGTGTAATGTTGTGATTTATTTTATAGAACATCTACCTCAAGTCATTATCTAGTCATTGGAGCTTACTGGCATTGATTGATGTTAATTATAACATTCTACGTTTTTAACAGTAATAGCTATGAACAATGCAATTCTAGCATAATACTTTAGTTTTAAGTATATAAATTTTATTATTTTTACTTTTAATATATTTTTCTTCCAAATGTGATTCAAAACATCCTGTAATTCACAGATGTGCCAAAGTAAAGCATGATCACAGACACCAAATAGTATGTAATATTTCAAATGTTCTTAATTTCCTTGACTGAAATGATACCATAATTATCATTTGTTACTTTTATTTACTTTAAATTTATTTTCTTTAGCTGTTTTTTTATTCATCCTCTTTGTTTAGTAACAGACTTTTACATCTGTGTTTGAGTTTTGACCAATGTACCATGTCCTAATATATGTAACTAAGATTATTTTCCCTCTGATATGTACGGATATACATGTGCAGTAACTTTCTGAAGGTTGCTAAGTGTTGAAGATAGTGTAATATGTGATAAAGATCAATAGTTTGTTTTATAATTTTTAATATTGTATTTTATTTATCATGCTTATTTTTACACTATTGTTGGTACAAATACAAAAATCAAAAGAGATATGAAAAAAACATTTGAGTAAGTGATTTTTACTTCTTTTAAAGTTTACTGTCAATAAAGATATACATTGAAATAACTTCATTTACACAACCTATTTTACCTTTGTAATTTGATAAATTGAAACAGTCTAACAAGGAAACACAACTGTGATTGAAAAAGCACATAATATAGTTGAATAGCATTTCAATTGAAAATAATGGATATTTCCACAGCAGGTACACTTTTTATATTTACCACCTATGAACAAAGTATGTGTGTTGATTAATTTATTTTAAGGTCGGGCTAGTAATTTCTGAAAGAACTGGTCTGACTGGTCTAGTGATATAAAAGATTAATATCAAACCCTGCTAGTGGCAAGTGAAAATTGTGCAGTTAGAGGGCAGCACAATTCAAGGAAAGCTATTATGCTAGATGAAGTATTGTATCAGAAAGTGTCCAGTGACAACACAACTTGTATCTTCTGAACCACAGCCTAGCATGCTAATAATTAAGTCATGCCTTACAAACTACAGAAAGATTGGGTGTAAAGTATATCATTGTAACTGCATGTACAGTATGTATTCTATGTTGATACAGGAATTACTAGTTAGATAATCTGTAGGAGAAACAAATTCCAAATATATTGAAGTTGGTAATGATATGTGACATTGCATTATGGTAATATGTAGTAAAATTAAGTGGAACAGTGATATATATCATGGGGAAAAATTATAGATTAAAATCATTCATATATAAATTAGAGGAAATTTCTCACAAAATGTAGTTAAACTACAAGTAAATTGTATAAAATTAGTATATCGATGTACAATTCAATAAAATATTTCAGTTCAAAGGTTAAAGTAAAATATCTTTGATATTAGGTATGTACCTTTTGGTATTCTTTTTGTTTTCTAATTGTCTGTCCTTGTGCTATTTTTCAATGCAGAGGGCATAAAGAAATGTTTGGTTCATGTATCTTTTGGCAAACTGTAAAGTTGTGGATAAGAATAAGTAGAGTCTTTAACATTGTTTGATGTTTATTTCATTTCTAATAATCAGATTTTAGTTCTTTATTTAGTTTTGTTTTTACATATGTTGAGTTGGATCTGACGGAGGAGGAATTGTTAATACACACACAAGAAATCATGGAACAACTTTATGCTTTATTGTTTCTTATATAGTCTCACTAATGTACAATACAGCTAAATGTATATTTAACATTTGTAAACCTTTGACACTAAATTCTGAGTATGTGTTAAAAGACTCAAATGAATTTATCAACCTAATCTCTGACAAGGCAACATTTGAATACTTATAATATATTGACAAAAGTGTTATGAAAATATCAACAACCAACACAATACTGCTACTAGTACACAAAGCATTTGGTATAGCATTATTTTAAGGTTTTCACTATTGAAAGAAAACAGATCTACTAGTACACATATAATTTTCATTTCTCTCACTGATATTTTCTTTACTAAATTAAGAAACAGTTTTATTGCTTGAGGTTGTTGTTTCACGCCCCGGAATTAATCTATTAATGCCAAAGTTTAAGAAATTCTGTTGTTTTTGTCCTTTTTCAAGTGCTTTTTGTGGAATATACAACTGAAACGTTTTAAAATATTTGACAATATGTTCCACGTCAGTATTATTCATGTTGTGTTCTTTGGCAATGATTCCAACTGTCCACTGCTGTGGGTCAGAGTTGTAGTTTGTTATAAATTCTAGAGCTTGTCGAATTTTTACTTTTCCTGGGGGAATCCGGGTAGGTTCCATAAAGCCATATTCTGGTTGATCTTGGGGCTTTCTGTCTTGTGGTAAAAGCCGCTTCTCTTCAACTTCCTGAACATTCTCCTATCAAATAAAATGAAAAGCAAAAAAATTCTACACAGGCTTACACTGTTATTTTTTTTATACACCATAGTTTCAGTTTGGCTCATCTATAATTTAATAGCAAACTTTGCAACATACAATAATAAGTATAAATATAAAAATGTAAAAGTACACAGAAAATAGATACATAAACTAGTACCTATACAAACAGAAAGAATGACATTATAGAAGGCACACATGTGCATAGCTTCATATACACATAGATACATTAATACTATAAAACAATTAGTGCCTTAATTATTTACCATAATTAGAAACCTCAGGTTTTCTAAGACAAAAATAGACTATTTTAATTGTAC